GTTCCCGCGCGGCTGGCGTTTTTTTCCACTGACGAGCCCTGGCTTGCGAACGAACGAGTCTTGCTTTGCAACAACTTCTTCGTGCCCACTGGTCGAAGGCGTTGAAGTAGATTGGGGGTCCGCCCGCCCACCACCTCAAGTGGAAGAAGATTGAAAACTCTTGGCACTTGAACTAGGAAGGCGCCTGAAGTAGATTAGAGCATGGAAATCCAGCAATCTCGAGTTTCATCGACCGATGGGCACTAGCAACACCCATGCGAGGACGCGAAGCACGAATGCGAGAAGCCCCGACTCCCGCAGCGCAGACGGCTGCGGCCGCATCGGGCCGGCGGCCTGAGGCTCTGCAGCGAAGGCCAAGCCGAAGGGACGAGGGGGTACCCAGGCGGCCCTGGTGCGGCAGGTTCTCACGAGCCGCGAATTCATCGGTGTCCGCGCCCTCGCGGTCTGGGGCACGATCGTCCGGATACGCGGTCGCACGGATACGATCCGCGCGGCGTATGTGCGAAAAAACGCCCCGCATCCGCAAGGTCGCGGCCCAGGGACCCAGCCCGCGAAGCCGCGGACACGGACACGTTTTTCGCCCATGCGATTCTCGTCGTGAGGACCCTGGCAGCCTTGAACGATCGGCGGCCTTTCGATCACCTGGGCGATCCATGTTTCCTGATTGGACGCGTTGGGCGGCCCTGGTACGGAAAGTTCGTGTCGTGACGACCCAAGCGCTAGTTTCTGTCACTGCGCTGATCCTTTAACCAGTGGCCTTGCGATCGCCCGAGCGTTGAGCATTGGCTGAATGGACGCATTTGGCGGCCCTGGTACGACAGGTTTTTGTCGCGACGACTCCAACGCCGGTTCCTGGCACCGAGCGGATCGTGCAGCCAGGAGCGATCGGCGGCCTTTCGATCACACGAGCGTTCAATGTTGGCTGATTGGACGCACTGGCCAGTCCCTCTCCAACCCACCTCCTCCTGGCAGTGGCGGGCGAGTCTCACACTCGCGCGTCGCCGCCACCTGAACTTCGGCGAGACCAGCAGGATGGTGCAGGCCTCCCGCCTCCTCTCTTGCCTATTATGACCTGCCTCTTTGGAGGCATGCCGAGCCAGCATCAGGTATCCTCATGCAACACGGGGCACCTAGGCAACGCGGCGCGGAGCGCGGGCCTCGTCCACCAGGAGCAGCTGCTCGGCGAGCACTGGCGCCAGGCCGAGCATCTGCTTCTTCACCGAGAAGTTGTCCCAGATTCCTCAGGCGTGGGGGGAAGCAGGAGGAGGAGGACGATGACGACGAGGGGGACGAGAGGTAAATAGGGGGAGGAGCAGCAATAGCAGAAGGAAAGCGACGACGCGGGGGGGGGCGTGGGGGAGGGGCCTCCTCGCCAGTCCTCCTCATCATCCTGCCGTTCCCCCGTCTCCTCCTCCTACTCCTCCTCCTCCTCCTCCTCCTCCTCCTCCTCCTCCTCCTCATCATCATCATCATCATCATCAACATCATCATCATCATCATCATCATCAGCAGCAGCAGCATCATCATCAGCATCATCGTCATCATCAGCAGCATCATTATCATCATCATCATCAGCATCATCATCATCATCATCAGCATCATCATCAGCGTCATCATCAGCGTCATCATCCTCATCAGCATCATCATCAGCAGCATCATCATCCGCCTCCTCCTCCTCATCATCATCAGCATCATCATCATCATCATCATCATCATCATCATCAGCATCATCATCATCATCAGCATCATCATCAGCGTCATCATCAGCGTCATCATCCTCATCAGCATCATCATCAGCATCATCATCATCCGCCTCCTCCTCATCATCATCATCATCAGCAGCATCATCATCGCAATCGTCATCATCCGCATCATCAGCAGCACCAGCAGCAGCATCATCACCACCACCACCATCACCATCGCCATTGTCTCCGTCGCCCTCAACATCGTACTCGTCGTCAACATCGTCACCGTCGTCGTGATCGCCGTCAACGTCATCGCCAATACCTACACAAATACACCACCAACACCAACACCATGGCCGTAGTAATTCACATCATCAACGTAATCATCGGCGTCCTCACCGCCGTCATCGGCGTCGCCGTGTTCGGCGTCGCCGTCGCATCACCAGCATCATCAGCATCATCAGCATCACCATCATCATCACCATCATCATCACCAGCATCACCATCATCATCATCATCATCATCATCATCATCAGCATCATCATCATCATCATCATCATCATCATCATCATCATCATCATCATCATCATCATCATCATCATCATCATCATCATCATCATCGTCGCCATCAGCATCGTCATCATCATGAGCACCACCGACAACCACCACCGCCACCACCAACGCTACCACCACCATCATCATCACCATCATCATCGTCCTCTTCAGCAGCATCAGCAACAGCAGCATCAGCAACAGCAGCAGCAGCATCAGCATAACCATCATCATGATCATCCTCATCATCACCACCATTATCATCACCATCATCAGTATCAGCATCAGCATAGTCATCACCATCCACATCAGCGTCACCACCAGCATCATCTTGATCGTGATCATGATCAGCATCACCATCGTCATCGTATTCGCCGTATTTCTCGTCGTCAGCATTGTCGTCGTCAGCATCATCCTCATCATAATATGTGTCGCCGTCGTCGTCGCCAGCGTCATCCCTCTTGGTTGGCCCCTCCTCCTGATCAGCCCCGCGTCATGTTCACCGATAGGTTTCCCAGATCCGAAAGCCCATCATCATCACCCCTCCTTCTCTGACGCCTCTTCCTCTTCGCCGAGAACCGAACAACGCTCACTTCGCACGTGCTTAGCAAAGTTCGGTTTCTCCTGTGGCTCCTTCTATCCTCATCCTCCTCAGTCCCCTCCCCTTCACTAGCACGACGTCTCAGATCCCTCAGGCTGGAGAGGCGAAGATCCACGTGCTTGGCACCGTCCCAGGTGAAGGCGGAGGTTGATCAGGACTAGGACGAGGACGAAGACGAGAACGAGGACGGGGATGAGGACGATGATGAGAATAAGAGTCAAGTTGAATGACGAGGCGGGAGGATGAGAATGACGATGCGGCTGAGGACGAGGCCGACAACGAGGACGAGGACGACAACAAGGACAAGGACGAGGACGAGGATGAGGGCGACGGTGAAGATCAGGACGGATGACGGCCTGCGGACGACGGGCAAGGAGGGAGGCGGCACAAGAGGAAGGGGGAATGGTGATAAGAACGAGGATGAGGATGAGGATGGAGGATGGAGGATGACGAGGTCGAGGACGAGGACGACGATCACCAGGCAGAGTGTGGACAAGCGGGGCCTTCGCAGGGCTGGGCCGCCCAGAAGCTCTGGGCGCTGGCGGGGGGTCCCACCGATTCCTCCCTCACGGCGGCGGAAGAGAAGGAGAGAGGGAGGAGGAGGGACGAGGAGAAGGAGGAGAGAGGAGGGAGGAGGGGGAGGAAGAGGAGGAGGAGGCGGAGGAGGAGGAGGAGTCGAGGAGGAGGACGAGGTAGAGGAGTCGTGGAGGAGTAAGATGAGCAGGAGGGCTGAGAGCAGGAGGAGGGCGAGAGGAGGAGGAGCGGTTCGGGGACCAGGAACGAGCAAGACGAGTAGCACAAGGACGAGGACGGTGGCCGAGGACCAGAACGAGGACGAAGACGAGGATGAAGACGAGGATGAGGACGAGCACGAGGAAGATGAGGAGAAGGAAGAGGAGGTGGAGGAGAAGAACTGAAGAGAAGGATGAGGAGGAGCAGGAGCAGGAGGAGAATAATGAAAAGGAGCAGGAGGAGGAGGGCCAAGAAAAACTTGACCCTCTCGAGGTCGCTGAAACTGGAGGTCACCAAGTTCCCGGACACCCGCAGAGGCCCAGAGAGGACTCAAAACTCCACCCTCCGGCGGCGAAAGGTGCCCAGAGATCTCAGCAGGTCGACAGAGGCCTCCATGAGAGGTCCCCAGGCGACCGCGAACCCACGACCCTTTGGCGTCCCGAAACGGTGCGGTGACAGACAGTGCGGTGGCCTCGAAATCCCCCAAGACCTCACCGCACGGTCCGTCACCGCACGGTCTTGGGACCCCGGAGGCCCCTGTCGCCCGAGACTTCCTCGGGGAACGACCCGAGTCCCAAAACCGTGCGGTGACCCGGAATCTCCACCGACTCACCGCACGGTGTTGTCACCCCCCCGTTTGGGGGCCCCCAAGACCCCAGACGCCCATGGAGGTCCCTGGAGGCTCCCAAACAGTTCAACAAAAGGAACCCGGGAGAAGCCCGCACGTAAAAGAAGAATGAACAGCATGAGCATTAACTTTCGACTGTCCGTGCGGACCATCTATAATGTATGTTTATGTCGTTGCTCTTCCTGGGACACGCCTAGGAACTAGGCAAGCCGCAGACGGCGGAGCGCCCCAGACAAGTGAGCAGCCTCCGTTCATTCCGTGGCATAGCTACATTCACTGTTGCACACGCGCGAGGCAATTATCATCATACCTGCGCGTCCGCAAGCGATGCAAATGCAAGGCCACAGTCAGTCGGGGAGGAAGCCGCGAGGCTCCTGTGGAGGTCGGAAGAGGGGCCCCAGAGAGGTCCCAAAAGGGACCCCAGAGGAACCCCAGCGGCCTCTGCGGAGAGCACCGGAGGTCCACGCAGGCCCCCAGAGGCCCAAAAGAGCCCAAAGGCCTCTATCCTTCGGTGGCGCACAGCCAGGGGGGGCCCGTCATGGAAGGCAGGGGGGGCTCCCTGGAGGCCATCCTGGCTCCCGCCATTCGGGTTCAGGAGGCCCCATCGGAGGCGTCCCGTCCCTGCCCTCTCCGAAGGCCGCCCCCCTGGGCACCACCCGCCTGCCTTTGCGTGCCGCCAAACCCTCAGACCTCCTCCTCCTCCTCCTCCTCCTCCTCCTCCTCCTCCTCCTCCTCCTCCTCCACCTCCACCACCACCAGCACCACCACCACCACCACCACCACCACCACCACCACCACCACCACCACCACCACCACCCCCCACCTCCTTCTCCACCACCCCCCACCTACTCCACCAACTGCTCCTCCTCCTCCTCCTCCCTCCCTCCCTCCCTCCCACCCTCCGTCCCTCCCTCCCTCCCTCCCTCCCTCCCTCCCTCCCTCATCCCTCCCTCCCTCCTTCATCCCTCTGTCCCTCCCTCCCCCCGATCTGCAGGCATCTCCGCCAGCCAGCGCGTGGTCCTTCCATCGCCGGGTCGATGGGATCCCCCGTGGCCGTGCTGACGCCCGTGGCCACGCCCTTCGCCTCGCGCTCGGAGATCACCGAGAGGAGCTTGTCCTCGGCGGCGGGAGGAGGGAGGTTCGTCCTCCTGACCCTCCCTCTCCAGCCCTCCCTCTTCTCTCCCCTCCTCCCTGCCTCCCTCCCTCCAACCCTCCCTCCCTCCCTGCCGGCCTGGCAGCATCCCTGCCTGCGTCCCCTCTCGTCCAACCCCCGGGCCTCCCCGTCCCCCTCCTCATCCTCCCCTCCTCTCCCTTCACTCTCGAAACCCACCTGGATAGAACCTCCTGCGCAGATCGAATGGAGGCAACGTCCAGTCGGCGTCCGACGAACATCGATGGGATCGGCGGGTCGCCTGCGCCGGCCAACGCGCCTGGGCGCGCGGAGGCCCCAAGAGCGCGCAGTCTGGGGGGAGGAGGGGGGCAGGGGAGGTCATGAAGACGGAGCAGGCCTCGAGCGGTGCGCCCCCCAGGGCGGTCCCCGAGTTGCCTGTCAGACGGGCATGTCCTACGCCCGAGGACAGAACGCTCCCAAGTGCTGAGCACGAGGAAGTCCCGAGCGGCGCGTCGTCTGGGGCGATCCCAAGGGTGCTTTTCCGATAGGCACGTGTGCATGCCCATCCCCACGCTAAAAAGATACCTATCAGATGTCATCCGTGTACCCATCCCCCCACATGGGAAGATGCCTGGCAGATGCCTATAGCTACAGGCTCATCCCCGCAAGAGAAATATGTCCATCTAGATGCCCCCCCGATGAGAAGATGCCTACTGGATGCCTTGGGGAAAGCAAGCCTATGTTGGACGGGATGAGCAGTCGGACGGCGACGAGGAAGGCAAGGAAGCACCGGGAGGAAGCAAGGAGGAGGCAGAGGATAAAGAGCAGCAAGGGAATGACGACGAAGAGCACCACGAAACGTCACCAAAGCGTGAACAACAAATGATCTGACTCAAGAGTACGACAAGCGCGGCGACGAGAGCGTCGGGTCGTAGGGTGGAACATCTACAGAAGTTGCTACATGTAGCAAACGCTGCAATGGGAGGGAGTTACATGCGCGCTGATGCAAGGGAAAGGCCAGCACTGCGGCGAGAACATCGTTCCAGCGGACGGAACTTCAAGGAAATTCTGAAACGCGGCAAAAGCAGTAGGTGGAGCATAAGTTTTGCCGTTGCAAGAATATAGCCAGCGGTGCGGCGAGAACGACGTCCCGTTGGACGGAAGCTCTGGGGAAATCCTCAAAATGTGGCCAACGATACAATCTAAGCACATTGTTTGAGGAGCAGACAGCTTTCTGATGCGATAGAAATATCGAGCATCGCCCGTTCGCAAATCCTGCCTGAAGATCCTGCGGGGTAGGCAAGATGGAAAAAAGACAGCATCTGAGGCGAGAGAGGAAAGAAGTATACCTAGGTCGGGGGCGCGCGAACATGGATTAGCGATCCATGGATTTGGCGCGCGGTCACCAAATCCATGGATCGGGGGAGGTGCCCTCCCCAAAATGCGGCCGGCGCAGCCTCCTTCAGAGGCGGAAATCCGCGATTTCCCACGGAAGCGGGACCCGTCGCTAATCCACGCCCCCTTAATCCACGCTTGCGATCGCCTGACTGGGAGTCTCACGTGGCCCTTCAGCGAAGTGCCTAGATTTGGGTCGGGGATTCGCCACGTGCCCACCCGTGGGCGCTTCGTGGGCGCCCCGTGCGCTGGCTGGGCGGGTCCGGGCTCCGCCTGGTGCCCGCCAGGGGTGCCTCGTGGGCGCCCCCTGAGCTGGCTGGGTGGGTCTGGGCTTCGCACGGTGCCCACCCGTGGGCGCTGCACCGCATAGATCGCGCTCAAGTGTTGCACCGCATGACGTGCACCACATACGTTGCCCCGCATGGATTACACCATATAGCTTGCACCACACAGCTTACACCATCGGCCATGCATCACATAGCTTGCACGACATAGCTTGCACCGCGTAACTCTCACCACATCGCTTGCAACAGTAGTTTACACCGTGTAGAGCTTAAACCAATCAGCTTACACCACATAGCTTGCATCACACAGCTTACACCGCATAGATTGCACCATGTAGCTTGCATCACACAATCGACATGTCCATGGTGCAAGGAGTCACTGTCTGGGATCCACGCCCGCTGACAGTGTGCAATTCTGAAGGAAGCGGTGGAGCCGAAGCACGATCCCTCCTCGGGAATCGGCTCCGAGACCACTCGTGGAGCACGCTCTGGTCAGACTCTCAGGGCGAAGCCAGCCAGCCGCGGCGACGGGGACCCTCTGGGAGGCGCCAAAGCAATACGAAGACGAGAAAGAGGGAGTCCTGCACGTCCATGCCGGAGTTCTCCAGCAGAGTCTTGGGGATCGTGAGCAGCGCCTTCCCAAATATCTCAACCTGCCGCTGGGCGAGCCAACGACGAGCACGGGGTGAAAGAAGGAGAGGAGGGAGGAGGAGGAGGAGGAGGAGGAGGAAGAAAAGAAAAAGGAGGAGGAGGAGGAGGAGAGAACCGAACGAGATCGTGCCGAAGAAAACTGAGGACGAGGGGGACCGGAGTGAACCCAAGATGTACCAACGACGCTGCAATGTGTGCGCACTCCCGTCCCAAGTCCGCTCCCCGACGAGCCACTGCACGCACAGGATGTGACTACCTACCAGACCACCCCAACCCAACCCGAAGACCCGAATTTCGGGTTTGGGGGGGTACGAGCTTCATGTGTGTTTTCTCAACGCTCCCCGACCCCCCCCAACTGAAAATTGGAGGGCAAATTGGGGCCTTCGGGTTGGGTTGGGGTGGTTTGGTGGGCGGTGAAGGATGGGCCCCTGCGCGGACCGCGGGCCCGCAGCTCCGGCCGGGCGCTCGGCCTCGAAGGCAGCCGACCTCCGGGCTTCGAGAGCCGGGAGGAGTCCGAGGAGGCGGGGCCCCAAAGTTCGTTGAAGTGTTAGGTCGGGCCTGTCCCCCCGCATAGGAAGGCACCAACTATACACCAACACCGATCCTGGCCCAGGATCACCCTGGGCCCAGGATCGGTGTACACGCCCTCCTGCCTTGCGCAAGAAGGCATATACACCGATTCCAGGCCCAGGGTGATCCTGGGCCAGGATCGGTGTTGGTGTATAGTTGGTGCCCTCCGACCACAGGGCGATTTTGGGCGAAAAATCAAAAAACAATAAGTCAAAAAACACTGATAAAATGTTTTAAACCTGGTCAAGAAAAATTCCCCCGACTATTTTTTGACTATTCTTGAACAGTCCCCCTGTGGAGGGGCAGGCCCGACTTAAGGGAAGTGGCCAGCCACAGCCCCGCTCTGAAGAGGGACCGACCCTCCACCCTTCCAGACATCACACACAGAGCGAAATCTCAAGCGAGAGTTTCACGTTGCAGAGGAACCGCCCTCCATGCATCAAACTGCTGCACAAACTTCCGTACCTGGAAATATGTTTGAGGGCACCCCCAGAAGAGGACCCCGCTTCGAAAGCGTACCGGGCTCTACCCGTGCAACTGTTGGAAACTTGCGAGACGAATGTGCGCGGCGCCAGAGCGAGAGCCACAGCTGAAAAAGTACCGCCCTCCATCCGTGTAGGAGCGCGTTGATTTATGTTCGGCGATGACGGGCGTCATGGGGGGGGGCGAGGGGGGGGTATGACGTAACGCCACCCCCCCGCCGCATGGCTCCAGCACCGCAGCCGCGCCCGCGCGCGCGACGCAACAAGCGACGAGCGACGACGACGACGGCGGCGACGACGACGACGACGACGCGAGCAGCATGTAGGTAGCGATATGCCCCACTGCGCCTGTGTACACCACAACGCTCGCGTGCACCACAGCGCGCGCGTATACCACAGCGCCTGCGTACACCGCAACAACCGTGTGCAACGCAGCGCCTGCGTACACCACAATGCTTGCGTACATTACACCGCCGGTGTACATGTGTACACCGCAGCTACCATGTGCAACACAGCGCCTGTGTACACCACAATGGTTGCGTGCACCGCAGCGCCCGTGCACGCCACAGCGCGTGTCCACAACACAACATCCGCGTGCAACGCATCGCTGGCGTACACCACAAAACCTGCGTGCATAGGACAAGTAGTCAGAGCAAGTACGTGAAGATCTGCTGCGGACAACCGGATGCAACGCCAGGACAATGTTGATAATCGAATGCGACGTTTTGTCGCACCGAATGCTGAATCCTTACCCCCTGTCGCGCGGGCTGGCGCCAAACCGCACGTGCGCATCTCAGCGCGCACCGCATAATGGTCTATTGAATCGGTCTACTTGGTTCTCGGAAGGCCAAATTAGCTGGAACCTCCTGGCGGACGCAAATGGGAAAAGTTAGGGTGATGTGGGCGGACTCGGGAGAACTCGCAGATCACAGCGGCGCTCCGTTGTCCATACAGATGATTTCCCATTGTTTCTGTGGGAATCCACAAGCGCTCCATTTTGTCAGAAGGATTCGTTCTAACATTCTATATGCAACAGTGGTGCTGTGTTGCACGCGGTTGCTGTGGTGCACACAGGCACCGTGGTGCACACAAGAACTGCAATGTACGCAGGCATTGTGTGCACTGGTGCTGTGTTGCACACGGCTGATGTGGTGCACGCAAGCGCTACGGTGTGCACAAAGGCTGTTGTGCCCGCAGGCACGGTGGCACAAATGAACGCTGTGTTGCTCGCGGCTGCTGTGGTGTACATAGGCGGCGTGGTGTACACAGGCGCTGTGGTGCACGCAGGCACTGTGGTGTACACAGGCGT